GCCTCTGCCAGGGGAACGCAGTTCCTGGTGGTGCTGGGCTGCTGTCACTGTCCTGTGACCAAGAAACCCTGGTTTATGTCCTGACGCTCACCTGTCCTGCACACAAACAGCAGGAGGCTGGAAATAACCACGGCAGAAGTCAGTGGAATAAGGTGGGGAGGAAGCTGCAGGAGCCAGAGGATGATAGGAGTCAAGGAGGATGGATGCAGGAAGTGGAAAGGAAAGGGCAGGGCAGGAATGAGTGCTTTGTGGTAATGTTTCTAGTCTCACTGCAAGGTTTTATCATTTTAAGTGATTAATTGGTTATAGTTGTAATATGGAATTGAAGAGACCTGCTCCTATTTTCCCTGTTAGCTAGAATCAGTAGTTTCCAGTAGCAGGGCTAGAAATTCTGCAGCCATTGAACAATTTGCCTCCAAGAAAAAGTGATTTTTTTATGCCCACAAATCAGRAAGATCAGAGAAATTATATCCTTCCTACAATATTTACTTTTTTTTTTTTTTTGGGGGGGGGCGCATTTCTAGTGTTCTAATTAGTAAGATAAATATATTTGTTTGTCTTTTTTTTTTCCAGTTCTTGGTCAACTCTTAACCCCATAACACCTTTGGCAGACTGTTTCAAAACTGAAAACACGAAGGGCATTTGATTTTAACACTTTGTGATACTGTCTTCCAGTTTTTCATGATGACCCACTAGCTGGGCTGTTTGTATTCCGAGAATGCATAGAGGAGGAGATCTGTGTTTTCTCGTTACTGAATATAGACCAGACTGTAGAAAATAAAGTTGTGTTGGCCATGGCCAAAGAGTCCTCTCCAAAGCAGCATGTGGGACCATTGCCATAAGCCACAGGGGCAGCTCTGCATGGGCTGGTTGAGCTTGGTAAAGGCACTAGAGGCTTTTGAATACCCAGATTCTCCAGGAATACACAGAAGTTGGCATCTCATGGATGGACGTGCCCAGGTGGATGTGCAAGTCTCATGGGATCAAGCATTGGCTCCCTTCCTCATGCCAGCAAATCATTGTGTGGAATCCGCAGCTATAAAAAGCAGTAATTTTCTACTTAAAAGTGTAAGTAATTACATTTTATTCGTTAATGCTCGATAGTTGAGAGAAATTTCTGGAAGTAGGTCTAAACCCACCTAACGTAGTACAAGCACCACCAAAGAGCCTAGTGTTTTTTACTAGCTCCCTACAGTAAAAATAATAATATTTTCACACCAACAACATGACACACACACACAAAAACACTAGTTAAATGCATGAAACAGTAAAGAGTCTGATCTAGGTCACAACTCGATTACGAGGCCCTGCGAGCTGTCCCAAGTGAACTGTGGACATGTTTTAAGTCTTAAAAAACCGTAGMAACAGGTATTTACAGAGAGGGGGCAGGGAAGGCCTTTCATGAAGCAATATCAGCCACTGACCACCTGACTGTCTTAATAAACAAATTAGAGCTAGCTAATTACAGAGTGGCACGTAATATTACAGCCCTTTTCTCAGATGTTATGGTGCCAGCCTACCTCACTTCACAGCCTGGCTCGATGATTCACTTGTTACGTGACTGCCTGGTTAAGATTCCCTGACAAATTTTCCTCCTTGGCTTCACTCACCATATCATCCCGGGACCTTCCGAGCCACCACGGCATAAACAAGTATTATCTTTTTGCAGAATATTCTGCTTATATTCTCGTCACAGCTGCGCTTTCAGCCRATTCTGCAGTGTTTGGGGACCAGATAGACCTACTGGGGAAACCATATTATTGCACGTGTACCAATTGCTTTGCCCCTTTTCTATTAAATAAGTAGAAAAGGTCCCTTTCATATTATATTAAACTGGGTGGAGGTGAAGAATTTAGAAATGCACCAAGGGCTGAAGATTTGGTTTATGGCCTCAAAACAGGAAGCATAAGTTGGCAGTTAGTGCACACTTTCTGAATCAATGTGAATAGGTACTTTCACTTCAAGGAAAGTGGAAATGTCTGAGATGAGACTGAGATAATGAGCAGGATTTGGGGTTGGGGAGAGAGATAGTAGAAAAAGAGCTGCGGAGCCTCAGGCTCAGAAGAACAGTAATGCATTAGCTCTGTGAAACAAAAATCATCTCATTTTGTTTATAGCAATTATCTTTTTTTTTTTCGGAAAACATATTTTAAAGAACATTAAGAGGTAAGATGAGGGGGGAGTGAGGTAAGCTGGAGCAGAATGAAATGGGCAGGAGTCTGGAATTCCACAGATGAATGTTCATTCTTTTATTTGCTAAACAACTGAACACAACACCTAGGAAGGCTTGTCACTAACTTAAACAATCCCATTTCACCACAGGTCTTAGATGATCAGAATCTTCATGTGTATTTTTGAATCTTAAGTATATGGTCTGAAGCCCTAGAGAACACTTAAATATGCCACCATGAAGCCAGACTCCTTGCAGGCTCATGGTTAGCTTAGACATATTTTGTAACCGTCACTTGGAGGCTTTTTAACATTATGTATTTTTAAATGGTGCAGAGAAAAACTAAATATTTTAATAACATTAATGTCTTAACAAACTGTCAAGTCAAAAAACCAACCAAACAAACAAAAAACAGCATGAGCCACAAGTCTGTCCTTAACTAACGTCACTGTGTGTTTTTTTTTTTTTTTGGTTCCAGCCACAGTGAATTAGGGATGGAAAGTCTGAAATTCTTGGCTGTAGACRGCTTTAGCGCAGCCTCACCTTACACAGAGGTGTTCTGTGCTCCTTGCCGCAGTGCAGCACTTTTCCGAGTCGTAACGGAGGAAGGTCTGTTACGGACACGGCCTTTCTGATGGGAACCACCCTCGGAGTGGGGTAGGTCTGGAGGAAACACAAGCCAACCTACATCTAATATCTAATATAKCCTATATTTTCTTGACTTTGAGACCCCCTAAACCTGTGCATTTGAAGGAAAAACTTAAGTGCTCACAAGSATATTTGCAGCTGAGCATGTGTGTAAAGGGTTGGCATGATTTCTATATTCTTGCTCAACGGGGTGAGGAAGACCAGCTTCATCAAAGATGTCATTTTTAGCTTCACATGAGTAAACGGCAAAACTTCCATGTTTAGGAAGGTGAATCATATGCATGAATAGGTGACTCATGCACAAATGTACCTTAAAACACTGTTACTTTCKGCTCTCCAGACCCTGTCAGAATCTGTGGGTTGGCTGACCCCACAGTGAAGAAGATATTGAGGYTGAAGCACACATGGGGCTCGTCCCATGGCAGTTGCAGCTTGGGGGTGAGAGAGGTGGCCTTGGTGCGAAACACTATGGATAAGAGAAGAAGCTCAAACGGGAAGCTGATGCTGAACCCAAGCTTGTGGTCAGATTGGCTCATGCCACTTGGGCAAGGACTGGCTGTCAGGAGAGCCCATAAGCCAGGAGATGCCACCTCTTCTGCAATGGCCTCAAAAGGACACAGCCCCCCAAAATGCGACTTGTGTGTCCTTGCTGGTATTTCGTGTCAGTGTGCCTGGGGGGACAGGGTGGTGGGACTGTGTATCTCCAAGTGGATGGTGTGGCAAGCCTATGGGCGCCYACACGGTGTGACAGTGCGCCTCAGGGGCGTGGGATGGTGTGACATGTCCCCAGCCGGTGTGATGGTATGTCCCAGGTGTGAGGGCCGGTGTGACATGTCCACAGCTCCACATGGTGTGATGATGTGTCCCAGGGGCGCAGGACGATGTGACTTGTCACCACACAGGGTGACAGTGTGCCCCAGGGGTACAGGATGATGAGACACATCCACGGCCCCACACGGTGTAACAGCGTCCTGGGGACGCAGGATGGTCTAACGCATCCTCACRTGGGGTGATAGCACCCCAGAGGTGCGGGCTGGTGTGACATGTCTCCACACAGTGTGACGGTGAGTTCCAGTGGTGCAAGATGGTGAGAGATGACCATGTCCCCACACAGTGTGGCAGTGAGTTCCAGGAGTGCAAGATGGTGACACACAACCATGTCCCCACACGGTGTGACGGTGAGTTCCAGGGGCGCAAGATGGTGAGAGATGACCATGTCCCCACACAGT